AACCAAGGTCCAAACTAAATAGTTGTAGCAAGGTAAGTAAGTTGAGTTTCCATTTTTTTCTCTTTTTTTTTCCTTAGACAGTGACACTGAAATATTTGGACTATTGATATACACAGCGTGTGAGTTACTAAACATTATTATACGAGAGAAAAGTTGATGCCAGAAGAACATGATCAGAAGGGGTATGCAATTTTGAAGGCTCCACAGTGAAGCAGGTGGTACTTTGGTGATCAGAGATGATCAATGTGGTGTTGTCCTTCAGGTTGCTACTTCTCTCTTTTATCAGCTAGTTGATGATGCTCTATGGCGGAGGTTTTAACATTGATGACAACTTTGTGTTTAGCTATGGAATGAGGAATAATACAGTCGTATTTGGAAGTGACGCGGAAGTGATTGTCAATGCTATCAACAAGATAATTTCATCTCATGTCTTGCTAGCTTCTATAATAGAAGATATAGTTAGGTGGGTGGCTTGAATCTCATGTTGATTTTTCAGTTTGTTTTGTGCCTTGGGAAGCCAATGGAGTTCTCGTAAAAACAAGAGTGAAAAATAGTGTATCTTTCAAATTCCTTTATGTGCTCTGTCTTCTGATGTAACTGTTGCTTGTTAATATATCATCCTATTGCTTTGTGAAGAAAAGAAAAAAATAAAATAAAAATTATTCATCTTACTCAGTTGGGGAGTTTAGCATTTCCTCTCATAATAACATTTAAAGCATAAGAGCTCTCTACTTATCAAAAAAAAAAAAGCATAAGAGCTCTCTGTTTAAATCAAGAATTAACCCTACTACCAAGCTTGAAGTCATTCACCTACTAGGTTTTGAAATGGAGACCTTGCCATTTTGGCTTTTGGGTGTGCCTTTGATCTCAACAAGGTTAAAGGCAACACATTTTAGAGTGCTAATTGATAAAATGACTCACGGGATTCAGCACTAGGCAACAAAGTGTCTCCATATGCTGGAAGAGTACAACTAATTCAATCAGTTCATGAAAAAGCTAAATTTGAAAACTATTGATAATGAGCTATGTTACGTAAACGGAAAATCAACACTGACTAAACTATGGCAACCCAATTTATTGGCCAAGTGGTATCGCCAGTATAGTCTACTTTAACATTTTAAATGTATTAAACTCCTAAATTAGTTGGCTAACTTATTTGAATACTAGCATTTTTCATGCTTGTACACAGATTAAAAGAAGGAAAAACGCTACTTTGGGAATCGAAAATGATGACGGCAACTAGTGTGAGGAAGAAGGTCAAATTTGTGAAGCTGTGGAGAATTATTTCAAGGATCTATATTGTTCCAATGGGTGTGATGACTTGGGTGCCGCTGTTAGTCATGTTCCTCAAAGGTTGATTGTTGATAACATTTTCTCAAGAACAAAAAGAAAGGGAAAGAGTACTCCTATATGGTACTAAAGTTAGACGTAAATAAAGCTTATGACATAGCGGAATGAAATTATTTAGGGGTTGTGATGCGGAAAATGGGCTAAAATGGTGCTTCAATTTAATTGATGAGGTCCTGTATGTCAACAGTAAGGTAATCTTTTTCGATTAATGGATATGTACAGGGATTTAACACTCAATCTAGAGTGTTCAGGCAAGGGGATCCTCTCTCCCCTTCCCTTGTTCTTCTATGTGCAGAAGGTGTGAGATATTATTTTGTAATTGGCAATTATCGGAAACAAAACAAGTCCTAGTCGAGTTGTAATTCAAGTTACTATATCGGGATCGATAGCGACTGCGGAATTGGAAAGTTGTTCAAAGTTACCATGACTAAGATCATTCAAAAAAGGTAAGAACAACACATTAGGAAGGATTTTAAAAAGGTTAGGACACATTCTACACTTGGTATATTTTCCAGACTTACCAAAACTGTGTTTTCAGCCTTCAGAGCCTCAGAAATTCAAGTCTGCTAGACTTGAACCAATTCAGAATCCTTGAACCGGTTCAAGGCCTTCAAGATTGGCTCGAAACTTTCTCTGCCAATCTTGAACAGGTTCAGCATTCTTGAACCGGTTCAAGAAATCCTGACAGCATTCCAATTTTAATTTCCTGTTTCAAAATTCTTTCCTATTCAGTTTAGAACTGTACCAAGTCCTATGCACGAAATTTTCTATATTTTCAGAGGGATTAGGACATTCTAAACTCTATATAAACCTTGTTAGTCATCTAGGTTTATTCATGGGTTTTGCACTATCAATTCATTATTCTTAAAAGCCATAGGAAGATTATTTTTGCAGAAAATCCAAGAGATTTATCTGCCGATCTTTCTAGAACATACACATAAACACATAGTGAGTTTAGAGTTGTGTTGTTCAAATCTTGATCGTGATCATACAGTTGCATCTACATCGATCAGAGAAAAACAGATATATTTCTACATCGAATTCAGATATTGAAGAACAAAAGTAAAAGCGATCACTCTTTGAAAGGGTTAAAGCATTCGAGGAGTGTTGTTTGATCTACCTGCTACTCTTCTACAAAGATCAAGCATAAGCCCGAGGTCAAGTTGTTGTTGGACGGGACATCACAAAGCCAGAGGATTATCAGCTATTGGTATTTGGTAGAACGATAGGGTGTGAGCCAGAGTCAAAGTTCTGTGTACTTTGTTTCAAACATAGTGGATTGGTTTACTTTGGACTGTATAGTCCACGAGGTTTTTCCCGCGCAAACAGTTGACGTGTTTTATCAACTGGGGTTTCCTCGCTAAAAATCCTGGTGTCATCTCTAACTTTTTACTTTGCTTTATTTTATGTTGCATGATATTAATTTATTAATTGCTGAAATAAGGAAAGTTAGAAAGACACAGATCTGTTTCTAAAAATACAAAACTTTCTAAATATTCTGCTACGTACAACTCACATAAGGGGTGTCAAGTATGTTAGCTTCGGCTTTGGACTGTGGGTTAATTTCAAAATTACAAATCTGTCGAAGGACTAAGGTGTCACATTTGTTTTCGTAAATGATAGCCTACTCATGTTTCGCAAGGCTTCTAATTTAGAGGTGCAGCAGCTTGTTACTATTCTGAAGTCTTATAAAAGACATCGTGATGAGTCAATCAACCTAGCAAAATCAGCTTTATTTTTCAGTAAAAACAGACTTGGAGGATCAGGAATATGTTCGGATCAATGCTGGATATTTCTAATGGAGGAATGACAAGTAAATACTTGGGGTTGCCTTCAGCTATTGGAAATCAAAGAAAAATTGTGGAAAAGTTTAAGAACAAAGTTCAAGGTTGGAATTTGCTTTCACACAGGGGTAGAGAGGTTTTAATAAAGAGTGTTTCACAAGCCATTCCAGCTTATTCAATGACTTGTTTTAAACTCTCTTTAGGGATTACTATTTCATGCTAATGTATCATCCTTTTGCTTGGTGGAAAAAAAAAAAAAAAAAAAAAATTTATTCATCTTACTCATTTGGGGAGTTTAGCAAGGACTTTTTCAAAGACTTTTATCATCCTTTCTTGGCTTCTCGAAGTTACTTGAACAAGGACTTTTCTAAGATATCCAATGGAGGAAATGGTACTAGTAGATTGGGTGGTACTGGTACTAGTAGTAGCTTTCGCAGTTATGATTATAAGAAGTTCGATGTAACAATTAAGAATGATCTCCGGAGTATTGCTGAGAGAATGAACTCTGGTGGACATCTTATCGAGTGCATTAAGATGTACATGAGTGTGCAAGATCCTATCATGGACGCGAGTCTTGAATGACTAGGCATCAAGAATTTAAGTATGGATGCCATTATTGTTCGTATGTTGGAGTGGGAAGAGTTGGAGGTGAAGATTACACAGTGGATGAAAGTTAATCAGATTTATGCCAAGGTGCTCTTTGCAGGAGAGAGAGGAGACTCTACGAGCGTATCTTTGGAGGTCTCGGAACTGCCTCGGATGGTAATTGTTTTGGTGAAATGATTAAAGACCGTACAACTCAATTATCCAAATTGGGGGAAGCCATAAGCATCTGCTTAAGCGGTCGATCATGGAGTTCAGAGTTGTTCAAAATTTTAGACCTCCACAAAATACTGTCCAAAAATTTGCATGCTCTTGATGTTGTTTTTCAGTTCAAATCATTAGAATGTATTAGGATTCAGGCAGTTGCAATATTGCGACAGCTTGTGGAGGCAGCAAGAGGCTGCTCTTCATTGTATACTAACAAGCCTTTGCAGACAGTGTATAGGGTGGCTGATTTGAGTAATTCTCAAAGCTGTCACTATAGTTGGACCGTTGTTGGGTGGGTATCAAAGCCAGCCTATCAGTTAGTATAATCCCTTTTTCACTTTTTTGTCTTCTGATGTGTCTTCATTTGCAATAGAGTTTATGCTATCAATTGTGTCTTCTGATGTAACTATTTCATTTTAATATATCATCCTTTTGCTTTGTGAAAACAAATATATCTATTATTATTCGTCTTAGTTGGGGAGTTTAGCATTTTCCACTCAGCAGAAGCAGAGGGATATAGCCTACTTTTTTTGCGAGACTTCTAATTTAGAGCTGCAGCAGTTTCACCTACTAGATTTTGTAATGGGGACCTAGTAGGTCAAGACTCAAGGCAGTGACTTTTTAGTGGGAATGTGGTTGGCGCATTGTTGGGTGGGTGGTTGACCGTGGTTCACAAAATATTACAGTATGGAATGCGAATCGTGATGACTGCTCGTGTCATTTAGTTATGGTTATGAATATAAATTATAATTTGAGTAATAATTATATATATATATATATATATATATATAATTATTTTATTGTCATGTCTTTGTCCTATTTTTTATCCGTGCTCAACTGCTCGTGTCCTAGTGTACCCATGTCCGCGCTTCTTAGGGCCTATCCCATTTATATTGCATTAAAGGCAAGGATGACAATGATGAGTACAAAGTGATCACGGTGAAGGCACTTCGAGCACAAAAGAACTTACATAAAAGGCAAAACAATGTAAAAGCTATATAAAATCAATGGCTTTAATCATTTGGGTGTAGTGTGTTGGTTGATAAAATGACTCACAGGATTCAGCACTGCGTAACAAAGTGTCTCTCATTTGCTGGAAGAGTGAGTACAGCTAATTCAACCAGTCCTAGGCTCCTTCAATGCAGTTCTACCGGTCTAGTCACTTCATTTTTCCTAAATATGTTCCAACAGAGATCATAAGGTTACTCAGACAATTCCAAGGGTGGTTTAGTGGCTTCGAAATCCATATGTCAACCCCAAAAGAAATATGGTGCTTTAGGCTTTCCTAGCTTGGAAACACAAAACAGAACTGCAATTTTAAAACATATGTAGAAACTCATGTCAAATACTCAAAACAACCTATGACTTAAACATACTTAATCAGAAGCAGATATATACCTCAACAAAGCAGTTGGATATATAGAAAGCTACTTACTTCAGCTGAGATCCTTAGCAAGGCCCTTGATCAAAAGCAAAATGGTTCGGAAACTCGCTTCCAGAATCACAATTGGCTGCAAGAAGGCCCTCTCAACCATTTTATATGAGGTATTTTTCTCTCAGACATATTGTCGAGTACCTATCCCACATACCCTCAATTCCCTTCTCCATCCACTTGGTTCCATATCATCTGTAACCCATTTTCCATTCGGCTGGTGAGGTGCAATTTCATTCGATGGCTTCCCTTTCTGCCCAAAAAAAAAAGAAAAAAGGAAAAAGAAAAGCAAAAGCTTTCTTCAAATCCCAAACATTAAATTGTTAGCAAAAGCTTTCTTTAAATCATTAGGCGATGATGGCATGTTGTTTTTGGGTGGGAATCAATCAGTGTCACTCTCAGCAAAGGGTTTTCCATTTTGTAAAGGGAATTCGATTTTCTTCATGGATGAGTATTATTGGGATCAAATGGGTGAGAGTGACAAATATGGTCATGACACAGGAAGGTTTAACATGGAAAATCAGAGTATAGAACTGATTAATGAAGGTGAAGATGATGTGCAGAAGATTGATCCAGCACCAATTTGGGTTGTTCCTAAGACATCCTAAGATATGATTTAGACGACTTGTTTCTTCTTCTTTTTGTTTTCTTATGAATTATAATTTTGTGTATTAATACTGGAGGTGAATTTTTGAATTGCATATGGTCAATATGTGCTTGAAAATGGCCCTCTTTTTAAAAAATTGTTCTAACTGACAATCCTACAAGACTCAAAAAATTGAATTCACATTGTCAACTGATAAAATTGGCCTCAGACCATACAAATGCATTCAAAAAAAGGAGTGTACAATTTAATCCACCCCACACCTTCTATCACATTCAAACTATACTGATTTAACTCTTCAGGGGTATTCAATAAAGGAAATTCTGTATTTATCTTTTATTGTTTTCCATTTACCTTTAAAATGATCATTAAATAACACAATCTCCTTTTCTATAATTTATTAGAAAATTGTTTGGCATATGAAATAACTTACTCAATCAAATCTCTCTCTTATGGGCTTCCACCTTTCTTCTTTCAGCAAGTAAATGAATAACGAACCAACGGGCCAGTGGCCTAGCGGTATCAGGCCCTTACTTCCCAAAGGGAGGTCAAGGGTTCAAGCCTCCATGGAGGCATGTGTGTGTGAGTATCAACTATGAAAAAAAAAAAAAAAAAAAAAAAAAAAACGTAAATGGATAACGAAATAAAGAATCTCACTCTTATGAGGCTTCATTGATGATTTTTTATTACTTAAGTGCCTTCTAGTCATTAATCGGCTTTACGAACATATAAAATTTGACTACTTCAAGTATGTAACAGGGTTAGAAAACATCACCCTAACAACCAAAAAACAAAAAACAAGGTATCACCATCAACTGGCTTCAAGGGGTCTGCACAATGATCTTAGACAAAATAAATTAATTATATGCTGATTTTGGTGTTGCCTTCGTCAGGAACTTGACTTGGTTCTTTTTTTTTTTTTTTTCCTAAATAAAAAGGGGATAACTTGACTTGGTTCTTCATTATCAATTAGTGGAGAGGAATGTCCTTTTAAAATTTAATTAACTCATATGATCAGTTAATGTTGAATTTAACTTTAAATCAGCCTATCAATTAGCTTTGCATCTTAAACAAGAGGCTTCAAAAGATTCTACCTCTAGGGTCAGCCCTTGATGTCAACAAGGTTAAAGGAAACAGATTGTAGAGTGCTGGTTGATAACAGGATTCAGCATTGGGCAACAAAGCCTCTCTCATGTGCTAGAAGAGTACAGCTAATTCAATCAGTCCTAGTGAGCTTCATTTTTCCTGAATCTGTTTTAACAGAGATCAACAGGTTACTCAGACAATTCCTATGGTGGTTTAGTGGCTTGGAAATCTATATGTCAGCCCCAAAAGATATGGTGGTTTAGGCTTTCCTAACTTGGAAACACAAAACAGAGCTGCAATTTTAAAACATATGTGGAAACTCATGTCAAATACTTAGAACAGCCACTTACCGGCCATCTGTCCTCAATTCCTCCCAACCAAACTCTCAACCATTGTATTTCAGGTGATTGTTGGTCCTTCCCTCCACAAACTCTTTCCCATTTCCCTTCCCCGAGCTCTCCTCCATTTTACCTCCATCACTCATCAGGTAGTTCTTCACTCAGACATACTGTCGAGCACCTATCCCGCATTCAATTCCCTTCTCCATGTGCTCTTCGACCTCCGGATTAGCACTCCTTCCCACCTCTGAAAAGCTAAAAAATTGCCAAATGACATAAACAATGTTTGAGTTCCGTTATTTTTATATAGAACGGTTACTTTATGTTGGGCTTTGGGCCTAGGTATAAAAAGGGTCATTGGCCTTTGTCGCTCAGGGTTATTATATCGTCTTCTGATTTTTTGAGCTGTGAGGTCCAATATTTACACGGGTGAGAGTGATGAGACGGGCGGTCGGAGTAGATTCTCCTCTTTGTCGAAGCAATGAACAAGGTAGAATCCATTCACAAAGGGGAATCCATTGATCACGTGCTTGTTGGTGTGGGAGCCGAAATGTGGCCAACATTGAAACGAGATTTCATTAATCAAATGAAAAGGTGAACTACTACAATTCAGAGCTTCCACTGAAAGAAATGGAGGCCCGATGGGCTCTTTCCCCCGACGTTCCACTAACAGTTTTTCATTAGCAGCCTAGAGTGCTTCCTTTCAGTCCTAGTCTGACCTGACCTTTAGGTTCTTGGCTACCAGTCGATACAGAATGGACAGGGAGATGGCTAGTTATCGGTTGGCTTCGGCCTATGCTTGTTTAAAGAATGTTTGGCGAGTCTAGTCTTAAGCATATACCCCACACTCAGTTTTCATATCTATGGCTTGCTATTACCTAGTAAATATTACTGTATTAAAATAATAAATATTATAGTATATATATAGTTAACGTATTAAAATAATAAAAATAGAATTAAGTGCAAAAAAATTTCCCTGAATTATGAGAATACTTGTAACTAATTTCCTGAACTTTCAAAAATGTAAAAAACCCCCCTAAATTATACAAAAAAAAATTGTAAATCACCCCATCCGGCCAAGCTTTGGTGAGAAATAGACGTTAAATTTGGGTGAATTTTTTTAAAAGACAATACTACCTTTACAAACATGAAAGGACAAGAATGGCCTTAATTTCCAACCGTTAAGACCCCAATATCCCATTCCTTATAATGACCGACAAAGCCAAACATGGCTTTACCGGTGAGCACGCGACCACAGTGACAAACCAACCCTCCTCCTCCTTCCTCATTCACGCCCTAACTGAACAAGGACAATATCTCTGCAACAAATTATTTATTTATTTATTTATTTTGTAAAATCTCTTGCAACATCTTCAAGGAAGACTACCAGCAGGACTCCGATGACCATAAATATCACAACTCGTGTTTTCTCAATTCTCCAATCATTGATTTGATTAATTGATAAATCTGATTTTAGGCCAGATAATCGATCGATATATATATATATATATATGGAATTTTTTGAAATTTTGTTGTATAGAAAGAACAATGCTTGTCTCAGGCCATATAAGTAGGAATTGCTTGCTTATGCTGATATGGACCACTAATAACATGGCACATGTCTAAAAAAAATTTTATGAAATAAACAAGAATCAGTTGTGTCTTCTTACGGATGATCCAAAAAGAATCGATTCAAGTCCACAATCTTTCCTCCAACAGGTTCCCTAGCTTGGCTCATCTCTCTGGTTTTCGAGACACTATTCTTGACCGACCTCATAACAATCTCAAAATACTACAAGACTTCAATACATTGACATTTCAAGCTGCAATATTTCTGGCAAATCAATGTTTCTGATGGTTCTTCACTCACTCAAACATTTAGATTTGTTGAACAACCACTTTTAATCAACCACGACAAGGTCCAAAAATTTGGTAACTCTTCGTTCATTCACGCTTGTACTATTTTTAATGCTTAAAAAATCCCAATTTCAGCAAACCCACTTCACAAATCATTCCAAAAACACAAACCCATCAAGAAACAGGATCATCCACACAGATCAGAAAACAAAAAAGACACCACAACCACTCAGATCACCCAAACCCCTCCAATCACCAATCTTTGTGGCGGACATCAAATCGGTGATGTGCATTTGGAGGGTACAAAGATTTGGGGATCGACGGCAAAGCACCCGATCAACATCGCTGCCAACAACGTCACTATAAACAACGGATTCAAGCCTTCTGCAGTCAATCTGTGTCAGCAGATCGTGTTTGCCTCTGAAAGTTAGAGCGCAAGTTTGGATCACCCGGTAGAATACCCGACTGATTTAGGTTTGTTTTTTTTTTTTTAAGTTTTTGACATGTGTAGTGTTTTTACTAGTCCATGTAAGCATAAGCAGGCAATTCCTACTTAAATGGTCTAAGGCAAGCATTATTCAATAATTAATTATAAATACACTTGGACTAAGCACTTTGTTTTAGCAAATTTTAATTAATGCATTCACACTATTGAATATGCGTTTAGTATTCCATGTTTACAGTTGGATGTGCATGTGTTTAAAAGAAGAAGTTACTGCAAAGATTATATCAGGAAATTTAGTCGTTACTGCCAATCGAATATACTTTTAGTATTCCAAGTTTACACTCGATGCGCATGTGCTCACAAAGTATATCAGGAAATTTAGTCATGATTAATATTAAATCTTTCGGTATGTACAGCCAGAATCATGTGATGCGAACAACTTCAAATCAATAATTTTTCAAATTGGGCAGCTTGCTAATTAAGTTCTGCAACTTTTTTTACTAATTAGAATACATTGAATGTGCTCCCTAGTCCTTTTGCGAGCCTTGCAGTACTCAGATATAATTCAGTGTTTTATGTTTTATCTGATAGTTCAAGCTAAAAATACAACATAATCGAATAACATTATCTGTTGTATAAATTCTACAATGTTACTAGTTTTTTTTGAATGGTAACAATGTTACTAGTTGAAACACTATACTAGGTGCAAAAGTTAATTGTAATACAGACTATTGAGTAAACTTTCAAATCAGGTCAATAGTGGTCCATTTCTTTGTTTCTTTTAAGTTGCAAGATTAATAAATCAAAAGTTTAGATCCATTGGGTATTATCTAATAGTTCATTGTACAGTAACCCATAGCTTATTCTATGTTTGAAGAACATGTCCAAAAGAAAGGGCCAGGTCCAAGATGGGACAGTTTTACATCCTACCAGAGCCAACCCATTGCCTTGGTAAGCCAAGGCAGCCATCCAAAGAAATAGCTTTCTTCTTTAATTTTATTTATTTACTTCTTCTTCTTCTTTTTTGATAAGAAAAAAGTATATTAGAAAAACGTTCAAAAGGGAACGCGTCCCTAAATTTATTTACTTCTTTTTTGGTAAGTAAAATTGCATTAGAAATTTTCTCCTTCTATTATTATCAGTATACATCCTGCATTAAAATGAAGAACGATACTAAAACAAGAAACACAAATTATACTCAAAATAATGATCACCAAAATGTACTTGACACAGTTAATTAATAGGGTATGGCATGACATCCGATACTCTTCAATATTGTCAAAGTAAAATGAACAATACAACAATTAGGCACATTAAATTCCTCTAATGATTTCCCACTTCGAGAAACCTAACGTATTGATTGAAAATTATTTGCATGAAATTTTCCATAAAACAAAAATGGCATCAGTTTATAGATTAGACCATACAGAATTTAGAGCAGATCTTAAAGCTTTTGCATCTTCTGTTGTATCTGCTGCTTTTAACTTGACTCAGCTTGAGATTTCATCTAGAATCCACTGTAGTTCTTGCTCGGCTTGAGATTCATCTTGAATCCACTGCATGCTCAGTATTTCTTGCTCGACTTGAGATTTATTACTCGGACAGTGCATGTGACAGATGTATAGAATTTGTGCCCGACTGTTGAGTATTGCTTGTAAGAATTTCCATCTCTCCTCGTTTGTTCCGTTTTCTCTTGATCCGACAAAGAACCCACTCTTGAAACTACATCATAACACAAAAACAAAACAATTAGATGACAAGATGACGAATATCACACTAAAAATTGTAAGCAAATTGAAAATTTCTGAAAAAAAAATAGTTTGCCTTACTTTATTAGAGTCAAGTCTGAATTCATGCATAATCCAATCACTCTTCGAACATTTATTAAAAATTGGATTACTATCTTTGTAGCTGTGAAATTTAAGACTCTTTATATAACACGTCTTGGATTCCTCTAGAATTAGCTTGTCCCCTTGGGTGGCCTTCTACCATCCTCCTCTAACCCTCCTTGTCGGCCTCTTCCCATTTCGTTTTGCAGATTTTTTCTTTTTTTACATAATAATATCCTTCCGAATAATCTGCACACTTGGTATGATCTGTTACATCCAAAAACACATTAGTTAGTTGGAAACCATATTGACATTAATCATAAGAAACAAAAAAATATTAAATCACACAAAAACAGTCCGTAGATTAAGAAAAAAAAAAAAAAGTGCTCTGCTCAGTCCAGATTTTTCCTTCTTCCTTTTTTTTTAAGAAACAAAATAATGCAAACAAGACATATACATCATATATCAAGAAAATAAAATTAATTCAATATATTAAATAATATCAAGAAAAATGCATCATATATCAAGAAAATAAAATAAATTCAATAAATTAAAGAACATCAAGAAAAATTTATGATCACACATATATATATATGCATCTAGTAATGCAGCGTGGTAAGCATCGATAACCAGTATGTAGGTGTCCAACCTTTTGTTAGGAAGATTAATCTAGATTTGTCTAGATTCATCTAAGAAGACCAAGTGATACTTGGGAAGGTGCAAAGAATCTCATAATAATTGCTAGTACATGAAACATTTTGGTTTATATGAAATATTTTGGTTCATTGTGTGGTTCATTGCATGTATTAAATTCATGAATTAGAAGTATCCATTGAGTAGTATAAATAGGTGAGTCATGTAAGTGTATT